GATGCGGTCAATGCAGCCACGACCTCGACGAAACCCGGCTTGCTTCTTAAGAATCTGGCCTTTACGAGTGTTTGTCAGTCTGTAAAGGATGGCAGAGTCAAGCAATTTGGAGATGGAGATCAAACTGATTCTTCTATTGTTACCGCATCCTGATCGTAAGCCTCCCTTGAAAATTGAGACCAAGATAACGGTGAGACGTTGCTACACCTGTGTGAATAGGCTCGTCTCTTACTCGCGAGCACAAACTTTCGACATAGCAGGCGCAGAAATGTGACTTGGCGCCCGCCAATCTCGGACCAGCTATGGACGCAAAAAACATGCGATTAGTTACCGCTGGAGGCTGCGTACAAAACTTTCGCTCGATTTGGAGCAGGAGCGTGGACTCTGACCACGCACTTGTCTACGCCGACCTACGGGTGCGTTTCGGTGGACGCCCGCAACGTCAATGTGAACGGATTGACACCAGTCAGCTGGCGAAACCAGGTGTTCTGAATGTGCACCAAAGTGTGCTGACATCGCGCTGAGTAGGCGCCCACTGAACACCGTCGAAGATCACTGGTCGCATATTCGTTAAACGTTACTATCAGCAGGCACATCTTCCTGTGACAAATCAAACTGCCAACCTAGACATTGAGACTCTAAAAGGTCTCTGTAACTTATGGATGGTCGCCTACCTATTCCGGCTGGAAGCATATACAATGAAGTTCGCGAAAATCTCAGGGCAAAACTGCGTGCTAGCCTGAAGAAAGACCGCGAAGCCTGGTGATCTCATCGTGTCTCGGAGATGGAAACAGCCGCTACTCTTGGTAATCATAGCAAGTTATTCCGCCTGATACGGGAAACAGGTAGCAGGAGACCTGATGTTAGCGGGACACTACGGGACGAGAGTGGACAGCTGATCCACCGCCTATCAAAACGCTTGGAGCGTTGGGTCGAACACAGCATGACAGTTTAACCAATCTGAGTTATCGTTTACTTTTTCAAGCACTAAGTACCATTCTCCATGGGCCGTCACTCTGGATCCGTCCTCACGCGCTGAAATCGAACGACATCAGACTATTGAAATTGCATGTGGTCGCATGAGCAGTTAGAATTTCCCCAGCCCTCTTCAAATTCGGGGGGTCTGCGCTAGCAGACGATTTACACGAGTTGCTAGTGGAACTTTGGGAGTAGGAAACTGTTGCGACAGACTGCAGCCACTCCGTCATAGTTCAAATTTTCAAAAAAGGCTCCCGTTCGGAATGCGGCAATTATTGAGTGATCAGTTTGATATCAATTGCTTCTAAATTGCTTGTCTGTCGTTATTCACAGACGAACTGGTGCTCGTGAAAACCAGATCCACGAAAAGCAAGCCGAGTTTCGTCGAGGTCGGGGCTGCATCGACCGCATCTTCACCTTGCGTCAATTGCTGGGGCACCGCCATGTTGATTGGCGACTCACCGTAGCCGTGTTTCTCGACACCAAAGGTGCCTTTGATACAGTGGATTGATGTGTCCTTTGGGACTGTCTGCTGAGGAAAGGTGTGTCCGGTAAATACGTAAACATTATCAAAGCGCTGTACGTGTATAGTTTGGACAGAGCGAGGGTTTATGGCAAACTGTCGCCACCCTTCAGTATCACCAGCGGTGTGAGACAAGATTGCCTGCTGTCAAGTTTCCTTTTTAACTTCGCTATTGACGAAGTCATGGAAACAGGCTTCGCTGAACACGACCTAGAAGGTGTGGAGCTAGTTCCTGGTGAACGAGTTTTTGACTTCGAGCATACGGATGACATTGCCCTCATATGTGACAGCTCTTAAACATGCCAAGTAACACTGGAGCGATTAGCACTGGCTGTCTATCATTTTGGGCTATGCTTTGCTCTATCGAAATGCAAAATACTTCTCCAAGATCGGCAGAAACCCACCCTTGCGCTGATCCCTGGTGGTGATCAGCTAGAAGCCGTTCAAGAATTCAAATACCTGGGTAGATATCTTAGCGCCCGTGGGATCGAAGATGAGATTCCGAACCGTATAGCAAAAGTTGGAGGTGCTTTTGCCAATCTCCGCCACATTTAGCGCAGACGCGACATCACACTCACCTTGAAGGGCAGAGTTTATAATGCAGTCGTCCGTACAATCCTGTTATATGGTTGTGAAACTTGGCCCATGAGGTCGGCACACATAAAAAGGCTAGTCAGGTTCGATTATCGCTGTCTCCGCAGCTTACCTCATGTCTGGTGAGAGCACCGCGTGAGCGATGAGTGTTTGACGTCGCGTAATTGGTGCGGGAAAAGCTAGTGAACCGCTCAGTCCCATTATATCACGCATCAGGCTACGATAGCCGGGCCACGTGTTGCGCATGCCAGCACACCGACTCCCGCGACGTGCACGGTTTGCGCACCAGGGTTGCGGTTGGAAGAGGAGGAGTGGAGGCCAAGCGATGACCTGGTCGAGAGGAATGAAAATTCTCACTTCAAAGTTGGCGTCGGTTGGTGAATCCGGACTGCTTGACCGGGGTCCTAAGGACGATGAACACGTTTGGTTGGACACACTTGCTGATATGGCGAAGAGCCGGCTCCAGTGGCGTTTGTGTTGTGAGTTTCTTTGTCCGTCCCCCTCCAATTCCGATCTCACAAGAAATGCATAAGATAATTTTCAGCATTATCTACCTGCTTTTGAAAAGTTTGTAGTGTATCCTTTTTGCATCTTACTTTTGTATTGCGGCACATTAGCTGAGGAGCGTTTCCCACCCTCAAGTGACGTGTGTTGATGAGGACGAACGTGTATGGCTATGGTGATGATGGAAAAAAAGACCCAGCCTAGGCAATCTCCCGAGATATGACACCTGTGTTAGCCCACGCACCCTCTTGGTGTCAATCCTCAGGACCCGATTCACTGTCATCTTTCCCTGCAACCAGCAAGGGGGCACGCTCGGGCGCAGTGGTGTCCGATGAAAGCCGTGTAAAGTTCAACAGACATTTCCCCGGTTAGAATTTTAAATGACCTGCTAATCATCCACAGCATTCTGAACCCCTTGAACACAACCTTTGTCCAGTTTGCGCTCGACTTTGGATCCGATGACAGTGGCACCTAAGTCAATTTGCTCGAAAAGCGTGGTACTATGTTGCCGCCTAAAAAGTAAAGTGCTGATGGACCACTGTTGTCAAGGCGCAAAACTGAGCACTTTGAAAGTCATCAGCAGTACGCTGGCACACTGTACCGATGCTTCGCTGCCATGTGACCACCACTGGTCGCGCGTACGCTGAGTATCCTGCGAGCATGCCCGCCTCTACACAGTTTCGAACCGGTGACCTAAGGATTGCAAGCAAGGGGTGCAATCTTTTCGGCTACCTACCGACACCTCGAAAGATTCATGGATAGTTGCCCCAAAGTGGACCAATGGCAGATTCTATCAAGCGTACGCTGCAGAAAGTGGGAGTCATCCGGGTCACCGGCGGCGCCTCAAACCATAAGATCCTCACACATAGGAGTCGAGAACGCCAGCTCCTCAGGCAAGACATTAATATACAAGGCGAACAAAAATGGACCGATGACAGACACCACTGAAAGTCAGCTGTCGTGAAGATAGGATCGAGTCCAACCGATGGCACATCCCCCTACCACCAATAAAATCCAGTATCCATTGTAGTGCTTGTCCGGAGATGCCAGCAGCTTACACAACAGGCAGGAATATGGAACGGTGTCGAATGCTTTGGCGAAATCTATGAAAAGCACATCCACCGTCTCTTCCCGAACCAACGCGTTGCGCCAGCATTCCCGAGCATACGACAAATTGGTAAGGCAAGAGTAGCCTATACGAAAACCGTGCTGAGACGAACTGAACGTCCTCAAGTAGGTTTCCAGGGCATCTGTTATCAGCCTCTCTAGTAAGTTGACAAATACACTAGTCAAGCTGACCGGTCTGTAGTTCTCAGAAAGGTTTTGTCACCCTTCTTGGAAATAAAACACTACTGCTTACTTTCAGTCAGAGAGTAGGGAGCAGTGGGGATTGGACTACGCAAAAAACGCGTGATCGGCTCATAATGCTCAGCTGCGAGTTCAGATAACAACTTGTGATGAATAGCATTTGTACAAATGGCTTTGGCAAGATTTAGTTTTCGTAAGAGTAAAAACACCGGAGTCTAACACAAATACTAATCAGTAGAGAGTCAGATGGAACTCCCGTCTCCAAATCAGGCGGTAAGCAATATTTCGTGACAAAGGAAAGCAATACTGTTCCGCAAGCAGACGGGCATTAGCGCGATCCGTGTCAGCAAAAGCGCCGTCGGAATCAAACGAGACTGGAAAGAGTTTAGATTAGTCTTACTCTTGATGTAGGTGAATAAGCGATTTGGATTTACTGAAGCCGAGTGGACCGACTCCATTTCATAGCATAGTTGAGAAGCACGCAGATGTTTGTAGGCATTGCGTGTTTCTCGATAGCGCCGAAAAGCGTTCTCTGAGGGAGCTGACCGATATGACCGGTAGCACCTGATACGCCTGTTCATCAGACAACGTGCAGATGAATCGAAACATGACGGCTTTACCATTTTAACCTTCTTCATAGAAATTGGGATGAGGGAGAGACACCTGAGACAGGTAAGACTTGAAGTAATCTGTGGTCTGCAGGTCATCGTCAGTAGAAATGATACAAAAGGGATCTGCAATCTTAGCTATGATCGCGGGAAAATCTGCTCGCCATATATTTGTAATCGGAATGTAGTCATCGGTATGGTAACGGAAGAGGGCACATTTCAATGACAAACAGGCTTGGCTGCTAGACTTCAGAGGCAATTCATAAGTAAGTTCGCCTATGAAATCTGCAGACTTAGCAAAGATTAGATCTAAGATGGGATGATATACGAATTGGAGTACGGGTGCTCGCAAAGTGTTTTGATTATACTGCCTAGATCCGACAGTAAAATGACCACAATTTTATCATATACACAGGAACGCGAGCTATAAAGTTGCGGAAGTTGCATTCATTAGAAAAGATGGCAAAACGAACTACCAGCCTCACTTCATTTGGACGAGACACTGTATTGTAATATTCCTCCGGTCTGGCGTTCCAAGCACTTCTGTGTGCAAATAATACGAGTCGTAATAGACCCTTGGAGCTGCAACACAAAGTAAATACCTCGTAGAGGACTGGATGCTCAACCGCCTAGTAACAGGCCGATGTAGGGGCAGATAAGGAAGCACAAAAGAGGGGAGGAAAAGTGCCGGAGAGGGATAAGAGGGTAAAGCTAACAGGAAACAAAATTTATCGACCTCTTACCTGTTAACGTGACGCCCGCTGACCGGCTACATTACGCCCCTATTAGCAGGCGCTGTCAGCGCCCATAATGGCCCATGCCGGCATCAACTCATTTGCCTGCAAGAGGCATTGAGCGCGGTATATTAGGCTCAGGAGATTCAACGACAAGCACTACGATAGCAGAAGAGTTAACTATTGCCTCAAGGGCTACAGTCTAGCTTCGTGGACTGCTGTCATCAACTGACTGGGTCGCCAAATATGTAATATTCCTCCTGTAAGGGCGTTCCAAACTCCTCCGTGTCTAAATATCACGATGGGCCGTAACAGACCCTTATAGCTGTAATACAAAATAAATACCTCGTAGACGACTGGATGCTCAACCGCCTAGTAACACTGGAACATTGTGTTTCATGGAAAAAAGCTGGGGCTTTACATGACCCACAAGGTGTAAAGAAATAGGGTCGGGTCATATGGAGAGGCCAGAAAACCTTATAAAGGGTTGGATTTGCGTGTGTACACCGACTCGAAGCGTGACACCTCACCACGCCCTCTGATACAGCTATGGAAAGAAAAAGAGGAGCATAAAGGAAAAATGTCGGGAGCGTTAGGGGTGGTGAGAAGTGGCAGGGAGATGACTGGGGCTAGTCTGGGGTATAGTATTCCAAACTGCAGATAGTTGTCTCAGGGGAGATCACGATGCAGGTCGGCAAGATGACGGTCCAGGCGAGTCTTGAAATTATCCACAGATGCCGAGACTACGTCGGAAGGCAGGGCGTTCTACGGTCTGCAGAATCGCAGAGCGAAGAAATGTCGTCTGCAATTCACCCGGCTGTGCTGATGTGTGAGCCGGTGTGGGTGACCATGAAGATGGGAGCATGAGTAGTGCAGTTTCAGTAAGTGGCGACAGCAGTGTTCAGGGTTGGATAGGATTGCAGATACGAGGAGCAAGTTAGCCCGGAGCTGTCGGTATTTCATGGAGAAGAGACCAAGGCGACGGAGCCGTTGTGAATAACCAAAGTGCCTGAGACCCCGTACTAATTTTGTCGCCCGACGTTATGGGGAATCAAGCATACGCTGGCCTTTTAGCAACCAGGGGCTCCAAGCCTGGACAGCAAACTTCGAATGAGGACGTAGGAAGGCGTTAAAGAGGAGGCAGAAATTCCGCGGGTCGATTTGGCCGAAAGCAAGTTTTAACAGTCCCAGCATGCGGTTAGCAGCAGCTACTTTCCGCAGGAAGCAGATACTGAAAAGTTGGTTTGGTTGATGATACCCAAATTTCTTTCAGCTGACGATACCTGAAGAGAAGACTCTCCCAGGAAATAGACTGGAGAAGCGGAAGGGTGGGTGGAGAGGACGCGACATTTTGAAGGCTTAAACAGGAGGTTGTTTTTCAGTGACCACTGGTGCAGACGGCTGAGGTCTCTCTGAAGTGTGTGGGTATCGTCTGGAGCATTGATTGTGCGCCACAGCTTTGCGTCGTCGGCGTAGAGCAGCATCGAAGACTCGACATGGGTTGTGATATCATCGACGAAGGATAGGGAGAATTGCGGCCCAAGAAGAGACCCCTGCGGAACTCCGCTTGTCACAGAGATACGGGAGGACAGCGCTACGTCGACACGTACTTGGACGGTTCGGTGGTGCAGATAGTTCCGGATCCAGTCCATTAAGGCCGCAGAGATACCGTAGAAAGACAGATTGTGTATTAGGGTGGCATAGTCGACTTTGTCAAAAGCCTTGGAGAAATCTAACATGACTTGCGTTTCCATGCCGGTGTCAGCCGTAGTCGTCCAGCTATCCCGTGCGAGGAGCAGGTTCCTCAGGCATGACTGTTTCCGTCAGAAAGCAGTTTCTGAGCCTCAAAGTGGTCCATTAAAGCATCGACGATGATCGATTCCATCACTTTGGCAATCGTAGAGAGGAGTGTTATCAGTTGATAGTTGACGGGATCCTTACGCGTACCGCCTTTGTAGACTGGCGTAATTGTACCGCATTTCTAATCGATGGTGACTTCATCATGCGAGAAGAAATGGGTGAACAGCTCCGCCAGAGGTAAAGCTAGAGCTATAGCGCATGTTCGCTAGAGCCTTGGATGGAAACCGTCTGCGCCTGGAGAGGCTGTTACCCACAGGGATTTAAGCTTCGCCAGGACCTTCTCCGGATTGAGCTGAACAGTTGTCAGGGATGCTGGAGCTAAGAACAGAGAACGTTGCGTCATTGTGTGGACTGATGGAATAGAAAAAGCAGATGCGTAATGTTGGCACAGAAATTCTGCGGCCTCATTTGCTGGTTTTGTGAGCTCTGTGCGTGCCGTCAGCGCAGTGATATCGTGTTTGATTTGCCGAAGGCGGTTGAGGTGACTATAAAGGGCTTTGGGGTTGGCAGAAAATCTGCGCACAAGCTGACGCTGCTGCTCACTTTCATCTTCGCGTATAAGTTGGACGCAGTTGTCATGGAGAAGTCGGTAGGCTTCCCAGTGAGTACCTGTTGGACAGGAACGATATGTTCTCCATGCCGTGTCCCTGTGGGCAGTCCAATTCCGGGTCCGACTTCGGACGGGCGTGAAAAGTTTCTTCTCTATGGAAAGCTGTTTGCAGGTCGTGGTTAAGGAGCACAGTTCGCGTGGAGTAGTGCAGAATGTTGACCAAGCGTTGTCGGTGTTCAAGTGGGGTTCCGGTAACCAATTACTTGCGGAAATGAGGGTGCTTAACTTTTCGTAATCAGTAAAGCGTTTCGCGTAAGTCAGCGTTCCAACAGGCTTTTCTGCAAAGCATACAAGTTCGTGCCGGAGGACGCAGTGATTTCTGAGCCCCAAAAGGACATCATATTCAACGTGCTCAACCATCAGTTCTTCGTTGGTCAGGATGAGGTTCAGGAGAGATGTTTGGTGTTTGGTCCGGAATCTGGTTGGCTGACAAGTATGGTTGTACAGCGGGGCCGTGTGAAGGAGCTCAATGAGGCTTGACGCAAAGGAATCAGTAGTCAGAAAGGAGCGAAATAGACCGGGTAGACTGAAACCTCCAGTGATAAGGTGTATATCTAAGGGATAGAATGAAGTTGATTTCGTGCGAGTCTTGCGTCATTCTCGGAGATGTTAGGGGGGGACGATAAATAATACCAAGACAACAGGAGTATTTGGCAGTCAGTACGACTTCGCAGCACATGGTGCCAGGAGACTGCAATGCAGAATCTGCCAGGATGGTACCACCGAGGGAGCTGCCACAATACAGTGCGACACCACCATCTGGGGTTGCGCGATCGGAACGGAGAACGGACATGTGAGGAAGTTGGATTTCATTGTCGGTGATACCGCCGGACAGCCGTATTTCCGTTGTGGCTATTAGGTCCGCTGACGTTGACAGAAGTCGAGTCTGGAATTCCGGAAGTTTGCGTAGTAGGCCCTGTGCATTCGTGTAAATGCAAGCAAAGTTTGTCTGCGTGACGAGTGCGGAAGTAACTACCGCATTGCCGGTCAACAGGTGACAGGCAGTACACCGCTTTTTGTTTGGAGAAATAGAGCCATTAAGGTTGCTGGAACTTGGGGATGTAGAGTGTGGATCATCGGAGCAGGGGTGGGTAGATGCGTGAGGTTTGTTGGGGGCTGCCGGTAGGGGTGTGTAGGGGAGCAGGTGACTCCAGGCAGTGAGGCAGTTGGTTCGGTAGCGGACAATCTAGATACGGTTAGGACAGCGTGTGGTGAAGGTATCGAGGAGGCTGCTGCTACTGCGGGTGTGTGGTAGGCCGTGAGTCTCGTCACCGAGTGGCTTTCTGGACGTAAGCGGACATCTGGTGGTGCTCGTCTTTTATAAGCATAAGAGACGGTGAGGACATCGGCTGCCATGCTAGTGATGAGGAAAGTCACTTTCGGGAGACGGTGGGCAGTTCCTGTAGAACTCGTTGGACGGGGTAGGCAGGGTACATCCGTCGTGGTTACATTGACAATAGTCATTTTCTGTTAAAAAACCGCCATTGATCGCAGTCATGCTGCTGTCGTTGTTGCAAGGTTGCGTCAGGGGCAGGCGGTTCTGGAACGCCGTGCGCTATGATAGAGCACGGTTGGGTGAGTGGCGCCGGCTGCAGTCTGCGCGCTTAGTCCAAGGGATGTCGGGGAAGATACAAATGTGGTAGGCGCCAAGGGAGGAGTTGCTTTGGAGGTGCGCAGACAGCAGAACTTCCATCATGACAGTGTCTGGCTGATAGTCAACACGAAGGGGTCTTGGCTTACCAGCGTTCGGAGACGAAGGGTGGCGAGTCAATCTTGTGAGATTGCAGGGTTTAATCTCGGGAAGGTTTGGAGCGTCACAGAGTGGGCACCACAAGATGGAATCATGAGGATGGCGATTTCGAAGTTACGGGTCAACAGACTCTGGAACGTTGGTGCATATGAGTTCGGAGTGGAGCCACGCGTTGCAGGTTTATTTGGACGCGAACTTGGGGGGGCAGTAGGCTTCCTAGGTGGGCGGGCCTTCGCCGGGAGCGTTGCGCGTTCACGAGCGCTGGACGGATCGACATTCTGTAACGAAATAATATGCGAGTCCGGAGGGCTGGAAATCGGCTGTTGTCGTTCGGCTAGGCCATCGAATTTCCGCAGTAAATTCCGCAGCTGTCCTTCAAGATCGAGCAGACGCACTTCTGTGCGGTTGGCGTTATCTCGCGTCTCGACCATTCGTGATGACCGGAGCGACTTCAGATGCGACTCGTTCCCTGCCACAACAACCGGACTGTCAAAAGGCCGCTGACAATCCGAGCCGGACTGGCCACTACGTCCACC